CTGAAACTGCTTTATTCAGTGTCTTTTTTTTTTCCCTGGTTCAAATCAGCTGGTCTGTTTTGGAGAGGAAGAGACCTCTGTCGATAATTTAGCTCCTGGTAAAAACCTCCTGAACAGTGACCTCCTGAAGGGATTCCAACCAGGAGAGGTTTCAGCTGGTTGCAATCTGCCGTCCTCACTGTTAGACGCCATGAATTCACCTACAAACTGGACCCGAAGACTTGAACTAGTCCATATTAAGTATGTTTTTAACAGTGCCTCTCTTGATATGTTCTCCCAGGCTTTACTTGTGGAACTGGAAAAATGTCTGATCCAAAAGAGTCCAACCTGCAAAATGCGATAGAGGATATCATCCAAGTGTTTCACTCCTACTCTGGAAAAGAAGGTGACAAGTACAAGCTGACCAAAACGGAGCTGAAGAACCTGTTAAAGGGAGAACTCAGTGATTTCCTGAGAGTGAGTATCTTGTTGACTGAAACCACAAGTGTTGTGTAACCTCACATTATTTACAATACAAAGTACAATTGTAAAGGCCTTTGCAAACTGAATCCCTTTTTTCAGATGCGTGTTTTTAATCCATATCCAAACAAAACGCTGACTCTGATGCATTTTATTCTATTAGATGTGAACATTTGAAACATGTGACAAAATGAAAAGACAGTTACCTATCTGACTGACTTGTTCCGAAAATTTTAATGACAGACAAAAGTTTCAGACTCAGTGTGCAAAGACCTCCAGTAACATCGCAGTAAGGTGCTTCTCAGTAAAAGTTGTCATCAACCTCAGAACATTTATTAAGTTATCAGAATAAACCTCACTGTAGAGAGAAGACTGGAAGAAGATGAGTTTCTATAAACCAAACAATGTGAGAAGTTTCATGAACACTACATGGCGTACGTGCAACTAAGAAACTAATCCGTCAGTGTGAGCGGTTCTCACATGAGGCCCAGAGTTGGGTTCTCATGAACATCACTATCTTAGTCTGTAGCATTTTGGGAAAAGCTCTTATGATTTTTAAAGTGCAGTCACCATCATGATTTGATCTTGTGAAACAAATTTCTCTTTGGTTCCATTTTTATCATGATTCTTCTCTCTTTCAGTGCAGCAAGAACCCCATAATGGTCGAGAAGATTATGGCTGACCTGGATGAAGACCAAGATGGTCAGGTGGACTTCAAGGAGTTCATCATTCTGGTTGGTGTGCTGACTATCGCCTGCAATGAATTCTTCAAAGACTGCCCTACTGACAGTGGTTCCAATAAAGACTGAAAGTCTAATACTCAGCATTAAGTTGATACCCATTTCCTTCAACAATTTATAACGATGTTGGTCATTTTAGAGATGTAAAGGTTTGAATCATTCCTTGTAATGTTGCATATTAAGATACATCACTGCAAACCAACTGAGATCTTCTTTTCTTTTGGTCCTTGAGAAGTCCATCTAAATAAATATATCACCCTGTTTGTACAAGTCTCTTATTTTAAGAAGCAAGCTAGACGGATTAATACGGTGGCCCTGAGGGCTCAACACACTGCCAATTAAGAAAACACCGAGACACAACACAATCAGCAGTTTCCCTTGGGGTGAATAAAGTTTTGTCTTAACACTGGCAAATAGAGAAACATCTTCACCAACTTGTGCAGAATTTAGGAAAACGTGCTGTAAGAAGTTTTTTTATTGCAGATATGTGTCAGTGTATGCCGGCTGATTATTAACAGGGAGTTTCAGAGCAGAAATTTCATACTAAGTTTGAGTTAATTTAAAATCTGTCTCTGTTACATAGTTTATCCACCACAGAGCACTGAGAGGTTGATTTTTTTTATTTTTTTATTGTCCTTGGACCTTTACAGTGGATAAAGAAAAACTCCACAAAATATCCCTTTTGACAGGAGAAAGAAATGGTGGAACTTCAGGAAGAGCGACAGAGGAGGGATCTCTCTTCCAGGACGGACAGACGTGCAGTAGATGTCATGAGTGAAGAACAGAACAATATGATAAAATGACAGTAATACAGACATTTAGAGGACGTGAATAAAACTTAGACAAGAACTACTGTACCACCTTATGGTTGTACACTTCTGCCAACCAGTCAAGTTGCAGTTACAGTTTACATCCCTCCATCCAGACTCATACGTCACCATGACAACTGACAATGCTTCAAATATGAATGTTGCTGCAGAGAAGCTGCAAATTCCAAAACATTAACCCTTCACACACAGAAGATCTATACAGTCAGCACAGTTTCAAGATTAGAGTCACCAATTCAGTATGTGACCAAATGTCTCCCCTTCTGTTCCTGAGATATGACGTTAAAACATGATGATGTCACTGTGATGCTGACCTTTGACCTTTGGGATATAACATGTCATCACTGTGTCATTTGATCCTGTTAGACTTTTGTGCCAAATTTGAGGAAACTCCCTCAAGGCCTTCTTGAGGCAACATGGTCATGGGATGACAGGCGTGAGGTCCCAGTGACCTTTACCCATCAATATCTGATCAGTTCCTCATCCAGTCCAAGTGGGATGTTTGTGCCAAATTTGAGGACGTTCCCTCAGAGCGTTCTTTAGGTGTTATGCTCAAGAATGGGACACACAGACAGACAACCCAAAGACAGAACGTATCCAGCCACACCAGCATAGAAGCATAAAAATCAGCAATAAAAATCAAATGATCCAACTTGAATCCAATTCCTGTTTTTTCTTTGTTCTTTTAGTGGAGTGAAGTTTTAAAAAGGCTCTGAGAGGAGGAACCTTATAGAATAAGCCAAACAGTTTGTTCTCCTGTGCTGCAGAAAGTTAACAGCATGTGTGTCCTACAGAGAGAGCTCGACGCTTTGAACCGCTTCAACAGGTTGAAGAACCTGAAAGCTTAAACATAATTAAGATGAAACCATGGCGTAGCCTGCAGTGGAACTTCACTGATGAAAACATTTTGAGGTGATGGTTGCTCAGGGCAAGTCAAAGCCTGCCTTGTCTTGGAGTTTTTCACTTTGTGCTCACATGTGAAACACACTTCACAAGCTAAGTGGTAACCTTGAGCACCACCCAGAGTCTGATGAAAGTAATTCATGTCAGCCAGCTGTCGAAGTCCTGACGTCATCGTTCCTCCCGCTCCAACAGTGCGCTGCTCATCCAGCAGCTCTGCTCCTTCTGCTTTTTTTTCCTGAAAGAAATGCTGGCACATTAAATGACGTCAGTCCTGGAGGCTCAGAGAGTCTGCTGTGAATCTCAGAGACAGAATACTGTAAAGTCGCTCTGAGGAGCAGGTAAAACCCACATTTATTGCAGCAGCACACTGCAGGCACCACAGGCTTTGTGCATTTATGAGCCCATTTGCAGAGCCATTTGAATTCCTCCCTGAATCTGTCTCTGTATAGACAGGACTGTATTACATCCATACACCAGCTACTTAATGATTCCTCATTTGGCCTTTTTCAATAATGCACTTCCTCTGAAATGACATGCTTACTAGTCAGAAAAATAAAAATATTGAGCTGCCTGTGAGTTATATTAATCATCTTTAATCCTCGCGGAAAAACAAATACACTCGGTTATTAGTCTGGTGTTTACTGCTGAAGTTTAAATGTGCACAGATTATTAAAGTACAGGACGTTGCTGTCCTCCAACACCAAATCACCACCTATCACCACTTTGTCAGTGGATTTTCATGTCTACATGTTGCACGCTCAGTGTCCTCCTGCGCCTGCTGTTGATGATCTGGGATGCCTCAACCAACAATAGGATGTCAACAGAGCACACGGTTCGGTTTGGACAAACCCATCATGGTTTGGCTCTACGTTCATACAGGAAGTGAATAGCGGGCTCCTGGTTGAAAGTCCAGGGTTTGTTGCACCCATCCACCTCCCCTCCTTCCCGCCCTATAGGGACTCAACAGGTCCTTCTATTAGCCGACACACTCACGTGATTACGTTTAGCCAACACACTCACATGATTATGTTTAGCCGACACACTCACGTGATTACGTTTAGCCGACACACACGTGGTTACGTTTAGCCAACACACTCACATGATTATGTTTAGCCGACACACTCACATGATTACGTTTAGCCGACACACACGTGGTTACGTTTAGCCGACACACTCAAGTGATTATGTTTAGCCGTCACACTCACGTGATTACGTTTAGCCGACACACACGTGGTTACATTTAGCCGACACACTCAAGTGATTACGTTTAGACGACACACTCAAGTGGTTATGTTTAGCCAACACACACACGTGATTACGTTTAGCCGACACACTCAAGTGGTTATGTTTAGCCGACACACACATGTGATTATGTTTAGCCGACACACTCAAGTGATTACATTTAGCCGACACACACACGTGATTACGTTTAGCCGACACACTCACATGATTACGTTTAGCCAACACACACCCGTGGTTACGTTTAGCCAAAACACTCAAGTGATTACGTTTAGCCGACACTCATGTGATTACGTTTAGCCGACACGCTCACGTGATTACGTTTAGCCGACACACACACGTAGTTATGTTTTGCCGACACACACCCGTGGTTACATTTAGCCAACACACACACGTGGTTACATTTAGCCGTCACACACACATAGTTATATTTAGCCGACACACACCCGTGGTTACGTTTAGACAACATACACACCCGTGGTTACGTTTAGCCAACACACACACGTGGTTACGTTTAGCCAACACACACACGTGATTATGTTTAGCCGACACACACCTGGTTACGTTTAGCCGACACGCATGTTTAGCCGACACACACACACACGTGGTTACATTTAGCCAACACACACACATGGTTACGTTTAGACAACACATACGTGGTTACGTTTAGCCAACACACACACATGGTTATGTTTAGACAACACACACGTGGTTACGTTTAGCCAACACACACACATGGTTACGTTTAGATAACACACACGTGGTTACATTTAGCCAACACAATAACGTGATTATGTTTAGCCAACACACACACATGTGATTACGTTTAGCTGACACACACGTGGTTACGTTTAGCCAACACACACACGTGGTTATGTTTAGCCGACACACACACACACAGTAAAGTTTAGAGACAAAGAACAGGGTTTGGCTTTACAATCTTAGAAGAAGCAAACGCAGGCCTCCTGGATGAAGGTCAGTGGTTGTTGGACCCATCCACCACCCCTCCTGCCTGCCCTACTTGGACTTCTAACACCTTAATTTTTGCTGTTGTCCTGCTTCGTTTCCCCCTGATGTCGCTGGCGGCTATTCAACAATAACGATGACCAACCGTGGATTATGCTGATATGAAAGGAAGACTTTTTCTCAAGCGCTGGATTTCAACAGGGAGACCGGCTTGGCCGACCAGCGGCGAATCATAACACAAAAGGTGGCTTTTAGTGTCAGTGTCTGAAGCTGAAATCACTGACAATCACTGTGGCAGCATTTCAGAATGAGGACAGGCTGGGTGTTCCACTCTCTCATAAACAGCTTCATGTTACTCTTAAATGTTTACAGCTGATACAATTTCACACATTCAAAATCCAACTTTCAGCAAAAGTTACAGCAGCATGAAATGATCATTTTCAGTATGAATTTAACGTCTTATTGAACAGAAGTCAGACATCATGACATATCTGTTACAACCTGCTCATTTAGTCAAACAGAAGGTTTTATTTTCTGAAGATATTTATGGAGAAAAGTCTAAATTTGAGATCTCTTTGCTGCAGGCTGAAAGTGTGCTCTTGCTAATCGGAGGTGACACTGAGGATGTTGACATGTCACCCAGAAAACATCCAAACTGATTACAGAGCAGCCTCAGGTTGATAAAATGCACATCTTGACTCACACTGCAGCGCAGACGTGAGACAGGCTGACGGAGGAACCTTACATCCTCTGTCTTCATTAACACAAGTAGGCCAAAGAAGCATTTAAGGTTAAACGCAGCCCTTATTAGGACCACACACAGTGCCAGTCTGGAGAAACTCAATATGGCTCCTTACAAAGCTGTGAAGCTCCATTAATTATCCAACAGCAGCTTGTCTGACGGAATAAAATGGCACATACTTGTCCCAAACTGTGATGTGCTCCTCAGCTCGTCACTCAAAAGGCAAAAATAAACTGAGAAGGCTCATTGAGATGTTTATTATCACATAAGTACATGTTCAGTTTATAAAGTCAAATGTTTCAATGAATAACTGTTTATATAATATATATATATTTTAGAGTTCAATGGTGGTTTTATCTTCTTATAACCCTCAGCTTTAGGATCCAAGATGGGCGGCTTATTTTGAAAATGCACATTAAAGGGAGCTGCTGCCAGTTTACAACACTTGAAGTGAAATGACTTCACTCAGCAGGTTTCATGCTATGAAGGAGAATCTCTTGTACTATGACACCTGGTTAACATAAAGACCAGTTCACATGATGGAGCAGGCTCCATGAGGACGACCCCTAGCACCACCCAGTGTCTGAC